TATATTCTAAAATTTTAAAGTGAATGCATAATATTCAAACATTCCTTTGTCCACTATTTGATCAAGATGTACGTGTGTGCTTGGATAAGTTGAGTTTTGAGTTATTAAATTGTGGACCAAGCTGTATGTACAGCCTCATGAAACAATTAAAACTATTATCCAATAACTAAATAGTTTTGGTTAGGACTTATGAGCTGCTTATTAAAACAAAGGTTTTACATTTAAACCATTAAATTCAAGATATATTATTCAAACATTTGAGCAGGGGGACAGCGAAATTTTGTATAAGTCAACTCTTAGATTTAAAATAGCAATATTAAAATATCGCTTTGTGTTGTCACATTCGAGGCGTTATTTTATCTCATCGTGACGAATTGTTTATAAACAATAATGTAAATATTATCGTCATGATATTATAGCACAAATTTTATGATAATTCTCTTTGGAACCATCTTCTGGAAAAACATCTACAGTAAGGTTGCCAAATGTCTTGGGGAAGGCAAATTGCACAGTAGATCAAAAAGCCTGGTTAACCGAGGTACAATATTAGATAAATAGTCTACTTATAAAACCAGTAGTTAGGGGTAGAAAATCATGCCCGGTTATTGGAATGTCCGGTAAATTTTGGTGTTTTCAACTTTACGGTGTATTAGCTGCTGCATTCCCAAACTGCAAATCCTTTGAAGTCTGGCCATCACATCTATTTATAGTTAGCGTCTTCCCGCCAACTCACCTCCTATCGGCGCTGGGATACGCCTCACGTGACCAGAGTTTCAGCCAATAATGTCTCCTCATCACGTCACGTGACCCAGCAGTTTGCTTGGCTGCTCTTTCCCGCGGTTACAGGGTTTCCTGTAATGTCTGGTTATGTTGCTTGCTCACGTGTGCACTCAGTAGGCAACAATAACCACCCACCAACAAAAACAAGTGGGTAAAGTCACGTGGTCTCAGTGTTCCAATCGGCACTGCCGGTTCCATTGTTTATGGAGAGGATTCCTTTGTATGTCCACTACCTGCGCTAAACCAACAAGCAGCGTAACCCGTACCTGTGTAAACGAAAGTAGTTATAATACTGATACACCGATGACGCAACTTTAACTCTGAGACTCTCGTGTGATATTCATTCCGGCGGATGGCTACCACTTTATCCTTCTGTGGGCAGTGGTTTTATGCTCTATTCGGTTATCTTTAGAGTTTAAACTTTATTCCAGCTTATGTGGCATCATGGATAGCCAACTGTTTCACGATGGTGGCTTTTATTTCTAGCGTTAGTCATGACCATATTATGATGGTTAAGTCTTGAAACTCATTTTTGTAGCCGCTAGGACGGCAGAATCTTGGAATTTGTACACGAGTAGTTCCACCCTCCCCACTAATATGAAGTAATGCTGAATCTACAACCCCACCCTGGCACGTGATTTATTATATACCAGTTCTGGCGAACAACGTGGTTGCATTTCAAACTTCTCCGGAAGGCGTTCTACTCACAGATGTTATTGTCTGTGGTATGGTAGGTATGCTGCAGCGAATTCTTCGGAAAATACCAAGCTCTTCTCAATAACTATGTTACTGTTCTTAATAATTCTCTAACAGTTCTCTATAAATTCATGGCATTGTTACTCAGCTAATTGGCCCAGCTCAAATGTAGTGGTATTACAAAGAAATGAACAAAAGAAGTCTTCTCAGGGCGATCACGCGATCTTTAGGGACAGTAAACTTTGTTTACAATTCTATTATAATGTTTGCATGCCACCCGGTGCATACTAAATTCTAAATTCCTTGCATTCCCCAACAAAGTCGTCTAACCATCAATAAATACGTGATTTCTCAAATACCTACGGGATTTTCTAAAAGCACATACTTGATGTCTTGATAGATCACAAGCCGTGACTTCATTCAAATTGTAAGTTAAATTTTAGAGTTTGGATTTCATCTCAGTCTGAACTAATTACTAAATTCTTAGATCCTGAAATTCCTGAACATATTCAGTCATCCGACTTTCTTCCTAAATTAAAAAAACCTGATTTTTCGAGAATTTCCATAGGTATAAGCACATACGTGATAAATGGCTGTCCCAGAATTCATCCAAACGGAAAGTTAATCAAGCGTTTGGATTTCATCCCAGTCAAGCGTAATAAAACCGTCTGAAACGCCACCACACCCTCCATCGCTGCCTCGACAACAGCTGTGACAATTTTCTCGCCCCCTCATTGGACCGGGTCTGAAGCTAAAGTGCTTTGATTGGTCGTCAGCTGGGAGACAGATGGTATACAATGGTTTAGTGGATATAATAAAGTTAGATTGAACCTATGTACCTCCTCGGAAGTGTAATTTATAAACCAGCTAGCACCAAAGTTTAAGTCACAACCAAACACGTCTTTTCACGGCTATTCGACATGGTAATTTAATAGCTTCTCAGTTTCTTCTTGGTCCGGTAATTCCAGTTGTTTTCAGGCAAGGGTGCTGAAATAAGGATGATGTTAGAAATCAATTGAAAGAAAATTTAGACAAGACGTTCTAATCGAATAAAGTTTGGGACCATTCATTGTGCGTTTAAATTGTTCAAACGTGACCCTGACGTGGTTTTTCCTACACGGAGGGTACACAACACATGTGCTTAAAAATTAGCACTTTTTTCGTGGTACTGAGCGGCTAGAATACGGTATTACGTATTGAAACTGTAACATATTTAGTACATATAGCCAGATTTCTACTTTCTCTAGTATAAGTCTTTAAGCAATGATTTGCGGATATGTTTCAAATCAACCTCATCGAAGCACCGTGAGAATATCTGGCTACAGCCGATGAAAATAGACGAAGCATGCGACCGTTGTATTATGGCGTAGAGTTGGTCTGCCATTTACGCGGGAAGCTGGCATCATTCCCGCGAAAAGTTTCCAGAATCTCACATGTAGACAATCCAATCGAATCAAACCGCTCTTTCCCTAGGCCCCGTGATGTAGTCACCTATTCTCAGTGGCTATTATTTCTCCTTCTGACTTCTGATTGGCTGCCTACCTTTTGATCTGGGACATGGCCAGAGAATATATTGATGACATAATCACGAATCAGGATTGCATTAAAATTCCCTCGTGAGCCTGTCGTTGCTAGGGAAACCACTTTAACACTAATTCTAATATGTCACGTGAACAGGGTGGATTTGTTTGTAAACACTATGTCGTCATGTTAACAGAATTCTTTGCATATTTATGATCGGCCGCTTAAAATCAAAAGTTCTAACCGTTGCCTTGGATAATGAGTTAAAAGTCGTTATGTGATTTATAATCCGCCACCTCTCCCATCATTTAGTGACTGAAATTACTCTTACAGATAAACGAGACCCTATTTCCGTCGCAATCAGTTACCATAGCCCTTACCAAGGCTCTAAAATCCAATTTGAAACCGCCGGGGTTTAAATATAGTGTGTAAAAAAACTACTATTCGTCGGAGTAACGTGATGCCTACACTTACAGGGGATTGTTGAACACGTACGTGTATTTCTCACTGTGACGAGTCTGCTGTGACCTATGTTGGTCACTTGGTCATGTATATGACTGCTCCTGAAGAGGCGATTGAATAATTCTCACATTTGTTACATGACTGTGCTGCAATTCGAGGAAATATAACATAAATCATACCAGCAGCAGCAGCATCTGGGGCCAATGTGCGTTTAGACTTTGGATTAATGTGATTATGATATAATGATATGTACTAGGTACAAATGATGATAACGCACCCGCCGCTGCTAAAGTCACGAACAAAGTTAAATTTATTAAGTTTCTCGGTAAAATACAGCAATCCTTAAAATTAAATACGTCCGTATAAGAAGATAAATCTTGATCGAACCACCTTTGTGTTTAGAAAAACGTGTTAGAGAGAGCGTTTTTAAAAGCGATTCACATCACTGTATTCCCTAGAGTAGTGTCATAGCAAAAAAATCAACTTTTGGATTTTGTCAATGGTGTATCCTGTTATTTTGTGGTATTACGTGGTTACCTAGCTTTTATCTTTCTTTCCTAATGCATGTGGGAAAACATTAAATGAAAAATAAAAACCAGCTGCAGTTTATCATGTGAGTAATTTTGTCCTCCGAGCAAAAAGGAAATGGTCACAATCACATACACCCTTATCGCTTTTAATGAATGATGTGAGTTCTATTAGAAATGCCACCATTAAATATTATGTTGTATGGGAAATATGGCACAATTTGACCATAAAATCGTTTCGCTCTTCTACTTTATTTAACTGATCGACTGACAGGTAGTTATAGTATCTCCGGAAAGGTCCATTATTTATGTAGAACAATATGTACCAATGTACCTTTTGTTATGTACGGGAGTACCCGCACAGGAATTGGTCCTTGTGCACTGTGCAGATCCTTTACATTTGACAGCGAAGTTTAATACAAGATGGTTATATGGAAAATATGGTGTCATAGTGTGCGAGAACAAAAGCCCGTATTTCTACAGAATAGAGATCGAGTTCTGTTCCTCTCCGCGGAATAAAAACGTTCACAGAAGTAATATAATTTCCAAAGAATCGGCTGTAGGCTATGTTATTACTCACTCCTCAAGTTGGGCGGAGGCCATCGTTCTACTGTATTGGTCCACTGCCACAAGTCTTGTAGCGTTCTCTCATAACACGTATTATGTATGGTGTACACTTCATATTACATCGAGTTTGCATAAATGTGATATAGGATATTTAGAATTACTATCCCCCATTCGCTGGCAGAAGTTGGCTCCTGAGGCTGATTGGGCTACGCTCTACTTTGTACACGGAACTAATTTTATTACTCTATTAGCAAGCGTTGTTGTTGTGCAAGCAATATATGAGAAATATTATATAATTGGATATATGCCAATTTCCTCCCCACTGCAAGGCCTGTTGGAAGGGTTTTGGAATGAATATGTTAGAAAATTTAGTTCCAAAGAGCTTTGCTACATCTTCCCCTAAATCGAAGTCAAATACTCAATACTAATTTAAGAATTACTTTCTAGGAGCCGAAAGAAGCATTAAGACCTGCCAGAGAAGATGATGGGATACGACTTGTTGCAGACTTGCTACGATATTCTCATCTCCTTGTTTGGATGTGACGAGAAGTCAGTTTCATAAATATGTCTGACCATTTAGCTTTTATCGAGCAGACGTTACTGTTTAAGACTCTTCCGAGATGGCGGGCCTTTTAAGTCAAGATATAACGACAGTTTTGCACTTTTGATGAGATAATATTGAACATATTGAAATATTGTATGTTTTAATTTCTAGTTTAGTAATACAAAAATATCGCTGTTTCCTTTTGCTCAATTCTGATAAGTTTTCAGGAAAAAGTTGATATGAATTATGTAGTGAAGAATAGCATTTCGATAAATAAAATCATGTTATGTCAATGACAATCAATCCGAGTTGCACTGGTCAGAAAGCAATACAGAGGGTTTTGCTATTATATATGGACACGTTCATTTGAGTTTGAGGATATTGGTAAACAAAAATATGGTTTTTACGATAGTGCATGTGGTTTGCAACTCATTACTGTGTTTAGTATATATACACTCAAAATGTCATTTTAGTCAAATATCATTGCATTAATAGGACATTATTGCTAACGGTGGGCGTGTGTCAAGTCCTGCTAAAGTCACTTAAATTTATTGACCAAAAAACAGCGGAGAAGGCGTACAATACGGACATAGGCGACTTGACGGACGCTGGCCGAATAGGGGACATAGGGGATTGGGTTAATAATATGGCAAGGCGGACATGAGGCGGACATTAAGTAGGAGTGGCATACCTCAAAGTGCTAAAATACTTGAATTTTTGTGTTATAAGTATATCTGTTTTTTTGTCCGTCGGACCCGATTTTTTAATTCGGGACAAATCATGCGACAAATCACGACAAAAATTGGTAGAATGGATGCCGCTCGCTCCTCCTGTACTCTTCCGTCCTGCCTTATCGGCATGGTTCGCTAGATCATCGTAAAGCAGTTTTCCTCTTGTACCCTCCTCACGCATTCTATCAGCACCTTTGTACTCTCCTATCGATTCTCTAATCTTCACTCCTCAACAGCAGTCCTTATTTCGGCTTTGGTATTCGTCCTGGGTACTCCAGCTTTCTACTTCTGCCTCTTATCTCAACCCTTCCAGTCAGGAACCGAGTGATCCTCTCGCATTCTCATCGGTTCCGCAAGTGCCACAAAAATCGCCTTACCTCAAAACCCCAATTCGTTCCTACTTCTTCAATAAAGGTTAGTTCTTGCCTAATTCTCAGTCCTCCTCAGTCCTCCTCCTCCTCCTCCTCCTCTTCCCTCTCAGTCATCCTCCTCAGCCATCCTCCTCAGTCCTCCTCCTCAGTCCTCCTCCTCCTGGGTCCTCCTCCTCCTCTTCATCCTCCTCCTCTTCCACCTCGGTCCTCAGTCCTCCTCCTCCTGGGTCCTCCTCCTCATCCTTCTCATCAGTCCTCCTCCTCCCCAGTCCTCTCCCAGTCCCCCTCCTTCTCCTCCTCCTATTCAGTCCTCCTCCTCCTCCTCCTCAGTTCTGCTCAGTCCTTCTTCTCATTTCTCCTAAGTCCTCCTCCTGAGTCCTCCTCCTGAGTCCTCCTCCTGAGTCCTCCTCCTCTTCCTTCTGAGTCCTCCTCCTGAGTCCTCCTCCTCCTCCCTCTCAGTCATCCTCCTCAGTCATCCTCCTCAGCCATCCTCCCCAGCCATCCTCCTCAGCCATCCTCCTCAGTACTCCTCAGTCCTCCTCCTTCTCAGTCATCGTCAGTCCTCCTCCTCAGTCCTCCTCCTCCTCCTCCTGGGTCCTCCTCCTCCTCCTCCTGGGTCCTCCTGGGTCTTCCTGATCCTCCCCAGTCCTCTTCCTCCTCCCCTCCTCAGTCCTCCTCCTACTCTTCCTCCTCGTCCTCAGTCTTCCTCATCAGTCCTCAACAGTTCTCCTCCTACTCTTCCTCCTCGTCCTCAGTCTTCCTCATCAGTCCTCAACAGTTCTCCTCCTCCCCAGTCCTCCTCCTCCTGGGGCCTTTTCCTGGGTCCTCCTCCTGGGTCCTCCTCCTCCTGGGTCCTCCTCGACTCCTCCTGGGTCCTCCTCCTCCTCCTCAGTCCTTCTCCTCCTCATACATAGGTGGACATAGGCGGACATAGGCGGACATTTATGGACACCTAAATTGCTAAATAAAATGTTCAATTTTTGCTGTTATAGGGGATCATGTTTTTTGTCCGTTCGGTACCCTATATTTTCAAAACAGACAAAAAATAGAGCGGACAAAAATGGACAAAAACGGACAAAAATGGAAATAACATTTAGATGCTTCCTCCTCCTACTCTTCCTCCTCCTCCCCCTGGGTCTTCCTGATCTTCCTCAGTCCTCTTCCTCCTCCCCTCCTCAGTCCTCCTCCTACTCCTCCTCCTCGTCCTCAGTCCTCCTCATCAGTCCTCAACAGTCTTCCTCCTCCCCAGTCCTCCTCCTCCTCCTGGGTCCTCCTCCTGGGTCCTCCTCCTCCTCTTCATCCTCCTCCTCTTCCTCCTCAGTCCTCAGTCCTCCTCCTTCTCAGTCATCGTCAGTCCTCCTCCTCAGTCCTCCTCCTCCTCCTGGGTCCTCCTCCTCCTCCTCCTGGGTCCTCCTCCTCCTCCTCCTGGGTCCTCCTGGGTCTTCCTGATCCTCCCCAGTCCTCTTCCTCCTCCCCTCCTCAGTCCTCCTCCTACTCTTCCTCCTCGTCCTCAGTCTTCCTCATCAGTCCTCAACAGTTCTCCTCCTACTCTTCCTCCTCGTCCTCAGTCTTCCTCATCAGTCCTCAACAGTTCTCCTCCTCCCCAGTCCTCCTCCTCCTGGGGCCTTTTCCTGGGTCCTCCTCCTGGGTCCTCCTCCTCCTGGGTCCTCCTCGACTCCTCCTGGGTCCTCCTCCTCCTCCTCAGTCCTTCTCCTCCTCATACATAGGTGGACATAGGCGGACATAGGCGGACATTTATGGACACCTAAATTGCTAAATAAAATGTTCAATTTTTGCTGTTATAGGGGATCATGTTTTTTGTCCGTTCGGTACCCTATATTTTCAAAACAGACAAAAAATAGAGCGGACAAAAACGGACAAAAATGGACAAAAACGGACAAAAATGGAAATAACATTTAGATGCTTCCTCCTCCTACTCTTCCTCCTCCTCCCCCTGGGTCTTCCTGATCTTCCTCAGTCCTCTTCCTCCTCCCCTCCTCAGTCCTCCTCCTACTCCTCCTCCTCGTCCTCAGTCCTCCTCATTAGTCCTCAACAGTCTTCCTCCTCCCTGGTCCTCCTCCTCCTCCTGAGTCCTCCTCCTGGGTCCTCCTCCTGGGTCCTCCTCCTCCTCTTCATCCTCCTCCTCTTCCTCCTCAGTCCTCAGTCCTCCTCCTCATCCTTCTCCTCAGTCCTCCATCCTCCTCCTCAGTCCTCCCCCAGTCCCCCTCCTCCTCCTCCTATTCAGTCCTCCTCCTCCTCCTTCTCAGTCCTCCTCAGTCCTCCTCCTCCTCCTCCTCCTCTTCCCTCTCAGTCATCCTCCTCAGCCATCCTCCTCAGTCCTCCTCCTCAGTCCTCCTCCTCCTGGGTCCTCCTCCTCCTCTTCATCCTCCTCCTCTTCCACCTCGGTCCTCAGTCCTCCTCCTCCTGGGTCCTCCTCCTCATCCTTCTCATCAGTCCTCCTCCTCCCCAGTCCTCTCCCAGTCCCCCTCCTTCTCCTCCTCCTATTCAGTCCTCCTCCTCCTCAGTTCTGCTCAGTCCTTCTTCTCATTTCTCCTAAGTCCTCCTCCTGAGTCCTCCTCCTGAGTCCTCCTCCTGAGTCCTCCTCCTCTTCCTTCTGAGTCCTCCTCCTGAGTCCTCCTCCTCCTCCCTCTCAGTCATCCTCCTCAGTCATCCTCCTCAGCCATCCTCCCCAGCCATCCTCCTCAGCCATCCTCCTCAGTACTCCTCAGTCCTCCTCCTTCTCAGTCATCGTCAGTCCTCCTCCTCAGTCCTCCTCAGTCCTCCTCCTCCTCCTGGGTCCTCCTCCTCCTCCTCCTGGGTCCTCCTGGGTCTTCCTGACCCTCCCCAGTCCTCTTCCTCCTCCCCTCCTCAGTCCTCCTCCTACTCTTCCTCTTCGTCCTCAGTCCTCCTCATCAGTCCTTAACAGTTCTCCTCCTCCCCAGTCCTCCTCCTCCTGGGGCCTTTTCCTGGGTCCTCCTCCTGGGTCCTCCTCCTCCTGGGTCCTCCTCGACTCCTCCTGGGTCCTCCTTCTCCTCCTCAGTCCTTCTCCTCCTCCTCCTCAGTCCTTTTCCTCCTCTTCCTCCTCCTCCTGGGTCTTCATGATCCTTCTCCTCCCTCTCAGTCATCCTCCTCAGTCATCCTCCTCAGTCATCCTCCTCAGCCATCCTCCTCAGCCATCCTTCTCAGCCATCCTCCTCAGTACTCTTCAGTACTCTTCAGTCCTCAAAATGTTTGTCCGCTAATGTCCACCAATGTCCGCTAATGTCCACCAATGTCCATCCAAGTCCGCCAATGTCCGTCCGGGTCCGCCAATGTCCGTACGAGTCCGCCAATGTCCGTCCGAGTCCGCCAATGTCCGTCCGAGTCCGCCAATGTCCGTCCGTGTCCGCCAATGTCCCAAAAAACACGTCCGTTGTCTCATAGAATCCAAAAAGGACAGGACATAGGCGGACATAGACGGACATGACACCCCCCCCATTAATTGACATTAATTGACATTAATTGACATTAATTGACATTAATATGTCTTGAAATTTGAGATTATCATTATTCGATAAATATTCAAGATATTCACGTCTATGTAAGTTAGACCGGTTCAAAAAAACAAAATGTCCTTGAATAATTATGAGTATGTTCTTATCTGTTGATCCTTAGGTTTAAAGACCACCAAAAAAAATTTCAGCTTCCAAGTCTTCCATCTTCGGTCCCCACCGGCCACGCCCATATTTTATTGGTTTCTTATACAGGTAAAATATCTAGAATCGGCTTTTTTAGTATGAAGGAGTAATGTTAGCTGTTTAAGATTCGTTATTCAAATATAAATGTCATGAAGGCATTTCGTTTAATGTGGGTTTTAAGTTCTGATGATGTTGAGAACCACGCCCTTGGATGGCCAGGCCCATTTAAGAAAATTAAATTTCGGGAAACCGTATTATTTTAGTTTTATTGTTTAATGATCTGAATTTTTTTCACATTTCACATTTCCATATGTGATAGTAGTGAATAAATTGATGATATAAACGTTCTAAAGTGCTAAAAATATGGTAGAACTACATAATCTCTGGTCGAAAAATATCGTGTCAATTAATGTCAGTATTCCAAAATTTTGCAAAACTGACATTGACATTAATTGACATTAATTGACATTAATTGACATTAATTGACATTAATTGACATTAATTGACGTTGCATTCCCCCCATAGTGGCTTAATTTTGACTTCTATTAACCTAGCACGTTCAGAAGTTCTGAACATTAGCCACGTAACCCATACTCCCATATGCACCGCTCAGAAAGAAAATCTATTGTTGTTAGGCACTATAATGTTTCAAATGTCACATTTTGTGTGACTTAGTTAACTGCAGTTACCTAATTATCATTCCTTGGTCTGAAATATAGTAAATTAGGTCAATCTAACAATTATGATACAACATTGGTTAATGGGCACGGATCGAACGGTTACATGGCAATATTTGGGTAACTTTGTCACACTCATGATACCATACCTCTATTCTACTGTGAGGTGTCCTAAAAACCCTTTCAACTAATTATTTGATGGTTGCTCTACCAATCATAGCCCTAAAATATGTTGTTCTGAATAGTTAGCTAATACAGGCACTCGGTTATTGGGAAATGAGGTTAATTCTGTCACAATATATGAAATTTAAAATTTTGGGCGAATTATTTATATCTGATTTTGGTTTGAAAGGCGGGAAAATTTTATATGATGACAATGTAGTTGATGCAAGTTAAGATCAGTTGACGTTTACATTGTCACAAAAAAGTATACGAAATCGTAAATAGATTAAAAACAATGATTATAGAATGAAATAGTCTCTTATAATAACTCTTATAATAACTGATGTGACAAAGTAAACATGTCTTGCCCCTATTTTGAAGATCTATATTCTATACCTCTATTAGAATATTGTCCAGAACATCAGAGCTTAAGTTTAACAATTTTAGGTTAAATTTGTCAAAGTCACTAAAAATGTGACAAAATTAACTTTTCATGCCCCAACAATTTCAAGATAGTGTGTAAAAATTAGCATAGGCTGCTTTATTACCTATATAAATCAATCCAAACTACAAAAAAATATATGTTAATGTGATGTCGACGATTACCTAACTCTTATAATAACTGATGTGACAAAGTAAACTTGTCTTTCCCCTATTTTGAAGATCTATAACTCTATTAGAATTCAACATTCTTTCAGAAACGATTGGAAGAATATTGTCCAGAACATAAGAGCTCAATTTTAAAAATTTAGATTCATTTGTCAAAGACATTGGAAATGTGACAAAATTAACTTTCCCTGCCCCAACAGTATCAAGATAGTGTGTTAAAATTGGCATAGGATTTATTACAGGTATATTAAAGTATTAATCGATCCAAACTACGAAAAATATCTTTTAATCTGATGACGATTACCTAACTCTTATAATAACTGATGTGACAAAGTAAACATGTCTTGCCCCTATTTTGAAGAAATATACCTCTATTACTATGTTACTTTATCATCAAAAAAATGTCGATAAACTAGTTATTTTGCCAGCAAGGAGCTATAACAGAGTTATAATAATTTTGTGTGACGAAATTACCCTATTTTTGACCATGTAGCGGTAGTTTAATTGTGACACTGTTAACATATTACCACCTGATAATGATTTATGTGACTGGTGCATGGTACTAGCAGTGTTGTTTGATCCATAGTACGTATAATATAAGGGGTTTGAGCTGGTATCATTATTTGTTCAATTTCACACATGTTCAGATATCATCAAGATTATATTGTGACAAAGTAAGCTTGGTTGTGCCTTCTGTGTTTTAATTCCTTACGACTATATAATATAATAACAATTCCCAGCACTTCCAGGCCATCAAATAAACTTACACTACCCATCATTACTTAGCAGGGTGCCCTAAACATTCATCACATATTTTCTTTAATGTGTGACAGAGTAAACCTGAATGCACCATCTAACTAAAAAAGTCGTCAAATATGTAGGTAATGGTCATATGTACCCATCCAATCAACTGGACACTCAAAAATTTGGTCAAAAACGGCAGCAAGGGGTCCATATTTACTCCGTCACATGTTTATAGTGTGACAATGTAACCATTTCCGTGCCGGCCGTATTTAAGCGATATCTTATCACCTGATTAAGATATCGTTATGTGACAAAGTTAGCCTAGAGGATGAGACGATTATCCTAACCATCAAGGGTTTAAGTAATTTCATAGTGTGACAAAGTCAACTACACTGTGCCTTTTAATAGGGTCACTTATATTTACCAATATCCTCAAACTCAAATGAACGTGTCCATATCGTAAGTGCTGAAAATTGTTCAAAAACCTGTGTAATATGGTTTCCACTTATCAGTTTTAAGTAATATATACACTACATTGCTCCATTTGCAGCCCGTGAGACGTCAGTCATGCTCCAGCCACAAGGCACCATCTATTGGTAAACGGTTGGTGTTTGTCAATGCTGCTGAACGTACTTAAATTGGACCGGAAATAAACCACGTCATTGGAGAAGGTCTTAAATCCGGAACTAGTGTCACTGTCCTTGACGGATCGCTGCACCTGTATAGAGGAGAAGAGAGTTGTGGTTAATTATTATATTGGCAACGGTCCAAGACATGCAGGCCTCCCGCGTCGATCAAACGGTTAAGTAACGCGCAGTGGCAATACGTCTCAAAGGTCTAAAAAGGGTCTACTTGAATTGCATCCGTGGTTATTAAAAGTATATACTGTTAATCTCCGGAAAAGTTTTAGCCCGCGCGCGACGCGCGCATTCGTTTTAATTTGGTGGCAAAGTCATGTCAGATCACGCACAGCTAGAGACGCGTGGTTGATGAAGGAGCCAGCTAGACGTCCATCGTGTAGCTCTTCGAGTCGATCCTGGCCTTATACTGGTAATGGTATCGCTAAATCAATCGTAAACGCAGATATTTCCGTTTGGTTTATACTTGGCTACACTTTTACGACATTTCATTCAAGCACGCATTTGTACTCTTAAAACCATTCGACTTCTGTTAAATGCTTCAGACTGCTCTTCTTAACATGACAGTATCCATTTAGATTTTGGCTTTGGTATTGCGTAGGGTTACTCAGCTTTTACTTTGCCTTTAATGTATACAAACCCATCCAGACATGGAAGACCGAGTGATAAACCATCTTGAAAAAGAGCATTCTCATCGGTTCCGAACAATGTGCCACAAAAATGCCAATTTAGCCCAAGAAAGCAAAATTCGTTTAGATTTCTTGGACAGAGAGAAAAGGGTAATTGATATTTATGCCTTAATATCTAGGGCCTAGGCACATGACACATCGATTTTTTTGAGATTTCATTTGTACATAACAGTAGTATAATTTGTAGTAACAGTTCAGGCTTTCAAAAAATATGTGTTGCACCCAAAACTATACTACATTCTCTAAATTTATGTTCACATGAATGAACATGTCTCGCCTAACAACGTTTCACACCAAACAATTGCGGTCCCAGCTGCCATTTGACAACCTTCCGGACTCCGGTAACCGGTTCCTACCCCGCCTCGATCCCCATTCGTTATAACTTAGAACTAGAAGTGTATTTTTTAGGTTTATTGATACACTTCCTTTACAGAAAAGCTTACATTCGATCGCATTGGATCAAGCGGAGTTGAAGGGTAGGATGATTCAGTTTTCCCAAGAGAGATATGTAAATGGTCTGCTTAATCAGCTGACTGATCTTACCTTCCAAAGCACTGACGCTGAAAGTCTTTCTGATGTTAATCCGAGGTAACATTTGATATTTGCTTATATGTTTTGACGTAAAACTGTCAAGAACATGATTCCTTTAAATATCCATAATACTTGCCGAGGCGTTACTGTTACTGTTGCGTCATAAACGTCATAAACCTATCAGACTTGACAAATGACAGTGACATACTATCGTCACGTGAAAATAGCTATGAACAGTCGATATATTATTATATTAGCTAACTAGAAAGAACAGCTAATTTCTGAGTTGTTCGACTGGTCTAATCGACCAGTCGGGGAGTAGGACTCTAGAGCGGGGGACTCTAGAGCGGACTTGGTAGGAATTATGACCCTAGAGCGGAGTCAAACCGCCAGGGTAGGACTCTAGAGCGGTACTCCCTTACATGTACAGGACCCATGGCCATACTATGAGGACTCTAGAGCGGTACCCACATGCAAATTTTCGAGCGGTTAGAAATTTGAGAGCGGACTGTAGAGCGGACTTGGTCGTAAGCGAAATACCGTCCAAGTACGTGCACTCAAGCAGATCATTTAGGAATGAGGATCTCATCGCGTGACACTTTAGCACCTACTAAGGGTATCTCATGGGCTGCCAGACTTTGGGGCCGGAGTGATATGATCCACCATATACGTCATCAAGTAATTAACATGCAAGCTTGAAGCTTGTGGCGTATAATTAGTGATGAGATCCATGGATTGAATATAATTGACCTAGAAATGGGTTAGATCTGGGGTAGAGTTCATATGACAACTCTGTACATAGAAGCTACAAATTGAGACAATGTATTGGCTGGTTATAAAATGTTAAATCGATTAATAATATAATACTTCAGAATAAAACAAAATACTCAATATTATTACCAAAGTATGTATTTCGCAACAGCGAACAAGTACTCAATCTTTGTTGGGTATGTCGTGTAGAAGGAACAAATGTCGTACAGAATGCTGCTGGAAATCCTCTTCTTTTTGGAAGGAGTCTTTCCAACAGCAAGCCGATCCAGATGATAATCTGTAACAACCTGTTGCTCCTTGATAGCACGAAAGTATTCTTGAACAGAGGGCTTTGGGCGATTCACCCGGGTTTTGAAACCTCTGTGGTGGCGAAGGCTATGATTCTCATATTATCTCGGTCAGTCTTCCCATCAAAGAGGATAAATTGTTCGTCTCTTCTCGTAGATGTGCAGCTCGGTATGTTGGGCAGATCCGGAGGCAGAAGCTCTGGCTCGTTGGACGACTTTTCCAAGGGATTCCATATTAGGTAGCGTCTGGTTTACTTGGAGAAGGTAGGCATATACTACCTTCTATCGCCCAATATTTATACCTAGAACACTAGATCGGCTCACTCCCCTTGCATGCCTTTGACAAGTACGTCTCACATCCTTGATACGAGAACCCCCCCCTTTAGCAAGAGCTCCCGTCCCTTATGTGATCTACGAGTCGAGCAGTCAGATCATGTCTACTTCTTAATGTACAGCTATGATTTACAGAATTGACATGTGAACTCTACCCCAGATCTAGCCCATTTCTATGTCAATTAAATTCAATGCATGGATCACATCACTAATTATACGTCACTAATTGGTGACGTGATCTGACCCCTCTTTGGGGGCCGGATCAGTTTCCGGTCCCAAAGTCTCCCAGTGATCTCATGTTCAGTCTGGTGACAGGGTACGATCGAATCCAGATCAGATCCCATCGCATAGCGGTTCTTGTTACTTTGTTAGTGATTTCAATAGTGCAGTATAAATGTCACGGAGAATTTAGTTTTAGTATATCACATTCGGTTCCTACTCCTCTTTACAACCATCTACAATATGCAGAGTAACAGTCATTCCTCAACTCCTCCTGAGAAGCCCATCTTCATCCGGGGACGAACAGCTGGCAGCATTAACTTTGTTCTGCAAGGATTCCGCTACGGAAAGGACGGAAACCTACCCAAGACGGCCGTCAATGTTGGCGATGCGTCCAATGGAAGCAAAAGTGTCCTGGTCGCCTCTACACCCTTGGAGATTCCGTTTTGATACCCCTAAACATCACATCCACCCTGCGAACTTTTTAGACTGCGAAGTGAAGACCATTTAAATGCCAAGGATCTTCGGATATTCTCCAACAACCCTCCTGCCCAGATCCTAAACTCCGTCAAGCAAGGTGCATCAGAAGCCGCACTTCTCAACCTCCCTAAGACCTCCTCTTTCAAACGCGCCATCAACAAAGCAAAGACTATTATTAATCATTGATTAAAAAACATAACTCAATCTTCAAAACTAACTTTACTCTCAAATTTCTAACCGCTCTAAAACCTGCATGTGGATACCGCTCTAGAGTCCTCATAGTAATAGTATGGGTCCGGTTAGGGAGTTCGGCTCTAGAGTCCTACCCTGGCGATTTGACTCCGCTCTAGGGTCCTACTTCCTACCATGTCCGCTCTAGAGTCCCCCGCTCTAGAGTTCTACAGCCGTCTAATCAATGCTGTGAGGTATTACCGACTACATAATAATGGATCTTCTTATCCAAGTATTTATTCCGAGGCAAACTTTGAAATTCCAGTTTTCTCCATCAGTCTAACAGATGCTACTTCGAACGAGTCAAACCTGTCTGTAGGGCCTCGCTATTTGCGTATGGAAACGAATGCCTTTCATCCGTCTGAAATGTCGCTGGGTTCTGAAGACTTAGTTCAGTGTTCCTCAAGCATTATTACTAAAGAAAGTTTATCTTCGGTAGTGGATGAAAAACAAGCAAGTGACAATCCAAAAAATACAATTAGCAGCTCTACTGTTGATAATGTAGGAAAAGGTTCGAAGTTAAATTGTCTTTTACGATTCATTTAAACGACTTGAAAGATAATTTACGAAACCAGACTAACCAGGGGCCAGATCAATCTAATTGCCGATTCTTCAAATAAATATATAATTCTTTATGAGGATGATCAAAAATTCCTACTACATAACCTCTTTCAGTTCCCGAAGAGAAGAAAATCAATGCTCGTGCTTCAGCTACTTCTGCTAAAGGTACTGCAAGTGAAGAGGAGTTGAAGAAAGTCGTGGATAAGCTGACCAATCGTTATGATATCGAAAAACTCAAGATGTTGACTCAGGTAAAACTTTCGAACATTACTTGAGACTTCATGACAAAACGCAATACTGAATAGCTGAATAGGTTGTCCATTAATGCATGAATTCTAGTCCTCTCAGTTTCCAGTGTGAAGAGTTTAAGATATTCAAAACTCATTGTGCCGAATACAATCGATGGATTCAAATGAATTTAATAATCGATTAGCTCTGAGTGGCTGGATCAGACTGATGAGTATTATAATTTAGGAATTAAACAGACTCTTAATGCAGGTCATGCTGAAAACTCTACAGAAGAACGATCGCTTTCGATACGAGGACAAGATGAAATTAGTTTATAATCTAAGCAGATATTTTAACAAGGAAGCAGATAATGCTGCTGAGAAGACGACCCCGAAATCTTCAAACCAAGATCTCAAGGAAGATAACACCTTTTTGTATCTTAAGGTATGTCTCGAATCTAAATAATTTATCTAGGATCGCATCCTGAGATTAAAACTTCGGGTGTAGTGCAGTTTGATTTCTCAATGGTGAATGTACAGGTTGTCCCAAAAAGAAGGCGACCAATTAATGATCAGTGGTAATAACTCAAGAGAACAGTTTGAGAACGTCAGGTAAGGTGTGACCTCCGGAGTCAGTGAAAAGAAAAAGAAGAGCGTGGCAGCAGTATTTTTACATGCTGTTCAATAAATGGCTCATTTTGAACAATATCGTCTTGAGCTCAGTCCTAAAGTGAAGATCATGTTTTGCTTAGCTTGGATTGGCCAACATCTGTCCGACAGCGACATCTGTCCGACTCAGAAAATAGGTTATTTGGACAATAGTTTATGTCGAAACTTTCCATAAAGTATGGTGGTTATAGGACGAATAATCTGTGTAAGTTTGAGCGAGTTTCTATGTGCCAAATTTAAGATATTACCTTAAACACAAAAAATATATCCAATTCGGTGGTTTTCAGTGGTTCCAAAGCATATATCTGGAGATCCAACGATACGATTTTCTTGAAACTTTCTAGATAGTAAGATAGCTTTAAGTTTAAGACAAATAATTTGTGCAAGTTTGGATAAATTTCTATGTGCCAAATTTGAGATATCACTTCAAACACACGAAAATAGTGCTGTCGGACAGATGTCGCTGTCGCACAGATGTTGTGTTACCCTTAGCTTGGATAACCACCTCATTTGCTTAATTATAATAACCTCAGTGATTCAGTGAACCTCACATGTGCATGAGTCGTGTAATTATGAGCAATTTGAATTAATTGCAGGTGTCATGTGCTGATTGGGCACCTGAACCCTTTTAATGGTTTGCGTGCACCCTGTCACTCTATCACTTGATCGCACGCAGAAGGGGTGCGGTCCTCATTAACAGATCATTGTACCCACGAGGGGCACGAGTTGATTAGCTTCTGCAGCTGTTAACAGGGTTGAATGATCACATGATCGTAACGCAGCACGAGTTAGAAATTAGTAATCTCCGGAGTCTGTTCAGTTTCAGATTTTGTAAGTAATCTGATCAGTGTGGACTGATTGGTCTGACACGTATCACTATCAAGACAATTAGCATTAATTAGTGTACAAATTTAAACTAGAATCATAGTGGAGGGATCTCTAAACGTATGAAATATCAAACTAATATTGTAGTCTCTATTGAATGAAATGGTTCCTGCTAGTCATGAAACATTTACTACGCAGTGGTTGCGTACAGATTCACAGAAACTATTGATCAGCGTATTCTTCAAATTGGTCCGAATAGATGTTATCATACTCATAGTAGTTATTTACCAAGTCATTTATCTGCGACTGCCTCCTCTTAGAAATGCTGTCTACAGAAAAAACGTCATACATGGGTTCGAACAGTAACTTACATTGCGCCTCAATCGAGTATACATCCATAAACTTTACAGTAGCAGATATCAGCTTCATCCACTTTGAAGCTAAATCAGTTGAATTTCTGTAAACGTTAAGGGCTGCTTTTTCACGGTTTAGGTATCCTTCTGATTGAGCCCCGGTTATATTAATTACGTACTCCTTTAGTTCATCCGTTAGTGTCTCGTTGATGAACGAGTAAATCTTTTCAGCGGTTTCGAGAGGCTTCAACGACATCTCCAAGTGAGTTATTCTTAGGTATCTATCTTTGAACCACGGATGGGCCTTGATAAACTCGATAGCTTTCAAGTGGTCTCGGCAGTAATTAAAAACCTCCCAGGCCACTTTAACTCTTCTTTCTGAAACATTATCATTATCATTTTCAATAGCAGTTCGCAGATTCCATGAAAAGAACTTGCCCCCTGTTCGTCGACTCATTATGCAAGCAACTGGGTGTCTTAAAAGCTGTATAATCTGAATGTTCGCGGACTGTATCTTCGAAATTTTGAGCAAGTCTGACAAGTCACTCAGCCTGATCACCTTTATGACGGTTGTGTGCCGGTACCGGCATATTTCTTGTTGAGAGTTCCTCGGTGCCCAAGCTGTTCCGGTACATTCAGTCGTGTTGAACCGTTTTAGATTCTCTGATGGTGAGCCGCACCAGCCATATTTCTCAGCTACGATTGGTGTTACAAAAGCTGTGCAGTTGTGTAGGATCTGCTGAAGATACAACATCCTTAGGTCAGATTCGGTGTGGTCAGGTCTAGCTCCAATAATGTCCTTTTTGTTTTGAAGGTTGATGATATGTCGATCGTGAAACGGTTCAAACATGTACTGCATAGTCGGGTTACTGTCGAAGAGGTTTCCAAGAAATGTTGATCCACTGCGAAATGCTGTTAATAAAATGATGACCCGTTTGTTGGGGTTAGGATCAAGATTGAATGCAGGATCGCGTGGGGGAGATTTGGAACTGTTCTTATTAGTTCCATTAGATCCGAATGTGGTATTTTTGGGCTGGACCAAATCACTGTAAGTGTAACTTAGAAACATGACAAAACCAAAGCCACTCAAAATAGTGACTATCAAACGTACTTTCGAGAAAGTTTCCTCCCGAGTCATCACTAAGTGTTTGTACTGTCAGTACAATCTTCGTCGGAGATAAAAAGCTTCAATTACCCAATTTGATTTCTTTAAGAAAATATCAAAGTTTATTTGCTGGCACATAGAAATTAAACGCAGGCCAATGACACTAATTTTTTAATTCTATATCGTATTACGAAACGCGGGTTAAGAATTGACTAATTAAAAAATTCCGAGAACAAACAGTCATTAAATCAATATTGTACATTTTAATCGTGGATTCGTCTTGCCAGATCTTCTTATTTTATCGCAACTAAATATCTGCTAAAAGTATAGAACATATTCTGGTTTAAAATGAGACTTATCTGTTAAAACTAATTGTTGACAATAGCCACCAGTACCCGCCATAACTTTGTGGTATTTCCCTTCAACCAAGAGTAATTTGAAGATAAACATACACTTCTGCGCGTATGAATGGCTAACTTCTGGGTATTCTGAAAAGTAGCAGCCTCGTCCGTGTAGATCCCGTGAGCAGCCCCTGTGCGTTCAGGATCTAAATTTGTCTTCTTGATGCTTTCCACATTTTTAAGCTGTGTTCCATGGTAAGCGAAAACTTCCTCAAACTTTACACCACTGCTCTGATATTCAATCTTCTTTAATTCGTATATCCGGCTTACCTGTGGGTTGACAACAATTTCCACTGTCTCGATAGTTCCGAGCTTCTGGTTATGTGCATCAGCTATATTATTATAAGAAGGGCGCTTTGAACAATCTCCCTTGTACAATGATACAGCTTTTTGGACTATATCACACAGCGGGTTACTAATGTCCCTGAGATTAAATTCTTTCAGTTTGATCTTGAGTTCATCCGCTGTTAGGTTATCTAAGATTGCATTGTGTGTTGGAACTGGAGCTGATTGACTTCTAGATCTGTTTTTGGTGGTGTAGGTGTCCGTGTATCCGAAACTATCGTCGGATTTTAAACTATCGTCGTGTTCTAAACTATCTTCGGATTTTAAACTATCTTCTAAGTTTGTTTTTTGAATTATTTTGCTCGAATGACGGCCTCTGTTGCGGATATTCTGTACTTTTGATGTCGAGGGTATTACTTTTTGTGACGATGATGGTTGCGGGATATCTTCTGTTGCAATCTCTTTCAAAGCTTTGAAGTCGTTATCAAGTTCCTGCTTCAGTTCATCAGCCATGAACTCTGCGAATTGTTCGTTGTCTCCTTCTGTGGTAGATGTGATTTATTTGTCAAATATTTGATGGTATGGACTAAACCAGGGTAAGCTAAGGGGGAGGGTTCTGAACAATTCAATGACTGGCGTTATTCTTGTTTGCTGACTTAAAATGGAATGGAAATATTAAAATCAAAATCTTTTCAAATGTTTTAGAACTAAACAACAACATGATCAAATAACTCTAATAAGTTTGCTACCATTTATAAAATCTGACGGGTATCCAAAACACAAAAAAGTTACCTTCACTTTCAGTTCGTAACATCTTCGAAAGTTGCGAAGCCAAGTGAAGATACTGAGTAAAGCAAAAGTAAGCGCTCCGATAATCAAGATTTTCATACGCCGAAAGCGCTTCTTCATACGTAGAGTCACGAATGAGCTCGTAACTTTTTAAAGTCTCCTCCTCTGCATCGTCGTCAAGCATAACGGCTTTAGCTTCATTTTCTATTTCTGTCGTAGTCTTCAGTAGCCAACCAGACATGATCGAGAAGTAAAATTAGAGAAATGATTATTATATTAGTAATAAAAGCAAGTTCTCATGACATTTTTGACAGTTAACTGCTTAACACACTGCACTAGTGTGAAATATGACGTAACACTTGCTAGTAATGTAAGCTGTGATAATCGAAGTCTGTACCTGACGACTGGTCGGTTATAATTTGGACTAGGAACCGACCGGTCTGGGGTTTTTGCTGCCGGACCGGAAACGGCTGAATATCAATCCATTTTTCGGTTTGCCGGATTTTTCCGGACCGGAACCGGGTGTTAAGAACCCCGATATCAATTGATCAGAATCCTACGCAATGTATGGTCTTACCTCTCTGCTAATAAGATTAACAGCTTGGTAACTCCACGAGGCTCTCCATTATGAGACAACGGGAACTTCTCGGGAAGCAGACTTTGACATTGTTATTTATTGGAATAAGCACTTATCTGAGGCCGGCAAAGGGAAAAAATAAAGCTTATGTGCGATGGTCGTGACCACCCTCATCGTGTGTCCTGTGATAATCTGAGGTGTTTTCGTTTTACACCCTCAAATGAGACAGTTAAATGTGTGGGCCAATAAATAACAATGGTATAGTCTACTTTTTATTCGATTATACTTATAGTGGTGTCGGTCCCTATTGGAATTACACCAAGCTATTAGTATTAATCTTACTAGTGTAACTCGTGCCTTCGGCCGGGACTTCATTATCCGTATCGCAGTTGAATTGCAAAAGTATAAACGGTGCAAAATCATGAACTCGCCGGCCAGTCGAGACCGGCCGCATTATTATAGTCGGCCGCATTATATATATAATAGTCAATTTAATTCTGAGCACCCAAGTACACGTATATAATAGTAATGAATAAAAGTAAGATACTTTAGTACCACATTTGGGGTACAAAACTATCAATTAAACCACTTACCACCGGCCGATTTAGAAAAGCTTTGCTTATTGGATTCGTCAGAGTTTTGTGTAACTGTAAACTATACCGAAAAAACCAGTCCAATAACTCTTACTGTTTTCTTGATTAAGCAGCTCGGAAATTACACGCGCACGCTGACGCACGCACAGACGGACATTTTGTTATTATTAGTATAGATAGTTATAATGTATAATATATAATAATATATATTATTGGGAGAGAAGTAAAATTGCAAACGACAAAATAAATAATCAGCAGTTTTAGCCATTGCCCCAAATGACTAATGAGTTGAAAGTGTCTTATCAAAAGATCTGCCTGATTTCGGGTACCTTTGAAGTTGGGCTCTACATGATGAAAATTGCTCGTTTACGGGTTGAGAATTATAGATGCAATATATAGGTGCGGTAATATTTTGCAAATATTGCGATCCCGTTATTTTGGACGGTCGAGTTTGTGGTAGGGTAAAAATGTGCACGCCTTGGTCGTTTTCGTGCACATCTAAACAGAGTACCAACCATAGACATGCCGTTGAAGAATCAAACCGCACTCGAAGTATTAGTATCGTATTCAGATATGATTTATTTGCTAACATCATGTTTCACTGAACTGTTCAATTCATGATCGGAAGTTAAAGTCTTAATTCACAGGCGGATAGGCAGAGGGAACTGCGCGATGACGTGAAACCAGTAAAACCATTAAAAACAGCCAAGAAGAATTTGTTTGGTTATGAGTCGAGAAGAAGCTCTGTTCCATCACTGCCTGACATCAACAAAATTTCTAGTTCTAGTAATACTTCGCTTCTAAACAGTTAGTTCCTGATAAAATATTAATTGCCTCTTATCTATCAATTTAATTGATTATGTTAATGTTGCTCCTTTGATCGTCACGGTTTTGCCATATTAAAATCGATGTTACTTTTATTGAACAATCTAGTTTATAATTATATCCATCTTCAGAACAAGACCTGAGACGACACTCTCTTCTGTCTGACTGGCGAACCTCAGTTCAATCACTTTCACCCGATAACCGAAACACTAATCAGCTGAGTTCCTCAACAGCTTTATTAAACTCAGAAAACTCGCCAGACCCTGTGAAGATAGAAGATCTATCTGATGAGCTGGACGACATGATGAAGATTTATCTCAGATTAGGCCTAGGGCACGGTGCACTCCTCAAGCTGCCACGGAGTTCAAATCGCGCGGCTGTGAAGGAAAAACAGAAAAGTTGGCTTCGACGAGACTTGAGAGCAAAGTCTACCATGCCGACAACTGGAGTTCAAGATTTGAGAATTGTGATGAAAAATTGTCGGTATTTAAGGTTCCCTAAAGACATGATTGAGCACCTGCTGGTTTAGCTTGGTAGCAAATGTTAAAATGTAAAAAGTGAATTATGTGGATTGTGGTCGAAATATAATGACAAATAATTGATGGGCTAATATTTCGGTTTTAGTTCGAAAATTCTTTAGACAAATTTTAAATTCTTTCTTTTAGCGTGCTTGTTAATGTTTATTAATGGACTATTCCTGTAAAAATGAAGATTAAAACAAGACTGAGAGATTTTATGGATTGTGACTTGAAACGCAAGACTTCAGTTGCGTCTTGCGATTGTTTTTATTTATATTTTATGTTCTTATTATTCATGTACATTGTACATAATATACTGATATCATTAACATTATTCCAAAGAATTTGAATTTTTTACAAGTTCTATAAACAAGGAATGGTAGAGTACTTTTTAAGAGAGACTAAAATTTCGGTTCAGGAAAATTAGAAAATTACTGCCAATAGTACAATTTGGTAATCTCCAACGTACCTCAATTTGGTTTCATACCATCATCAATTTACTGACTAATTGGTTTCTGGGCAAAAATTTCATCCAATCTGTCAAATTTGTGTTCAGAAAATTTCATATTTGAAAATCGGACAGACTTTTGAAAATACAACTTTTCGTTTTGTTAAGCTTTCTGTTGTGGGCTTCCTCCGACCGATATCAAACTTTCAGCACCTCAATCGTGTCGTATGGCATCTATAGTTAACTGACTAATTGGTTTCTGGTGAAGAATTCGGTCAAAACTGTGAAATTTCTGTCTTTGAAATTTCTGTCTTCAAAAACTGAAAATGGGACAGAGATTGGGACAATATGATTTTTCCATTTTATTCGAGATTTTGACTCCCAGTACCTCAATTTGGTTTTATACCATCATCAATTAACTGACTAATTGGTTTCTGGGCAAAAATTTCATCCAATCTGTCAAATTTGTGTTCAGAAAATTTCATATTTGAAAATGGGACAGACTTTTGAAAATACAACTTTTCGTTTTGTTAAGCTTTCTGTTGTGGGCTTCCTCCGACCGATATCAAACTTTCAGCACCTCAATCGTGTCGTATGGCATCTATAGTTAACTGACTAATTGGTTTCTGGTGAAGAATTCGGTCAAAACTGTGAAATTTCTGTCTTTGAAATTTCGTCTTCAAAAACTGAAAATGGGACAGAAATTGGGACAATATGATTTTTCCATTTTATTCGAGATTTTGACTCCCAGTACCTCAATTTGGTTTCATACCATCATCAATTAACTGACTAATTGGTTTCTGGGCAAAAATTTCATCCAATCTGTCAAATTTGTGTTCAGAAAATTTCATATTTGAAAATGGGACAGACTTTTGAAAATACAACTTTTCGTTTTGTTAAGCTTTCTGTTGTGGGCTTCCTCCGACCGATATCAAACTTTCAGCACCTCAATCGTGTCGTATGGCATCTATAGTTAACTGACTAATTGGTTTCTGGTGAAGAATTCGGTCAAAACTGTGAAATTTCTGTCTTTGAACTTTCGTCTTCAAAAACTGAAAATGGGACAGAGATTGGGACAATATGATTTTTCCATTTTATTCGAGATTTTGACTCCCAGTACCTCAATTTGGTTTTATACCATCATCAATTAACTGACTAATTGGTTTCTGGGCAAAAATTTCATCCAATCTGTCAAATTTGTGTTCAGAAAATTTCATATTTGAAAATCGGACAGACTTTTGAAAATACAACTTTTCGTTTTGTTAAGCTTTTTGTTGTGGGCTTCCTCCGACCGATATCAAACTTTCAGCACCTCAATCGTGTCGTATGGCATCTATAGTTAACTGACTAATTGGTTTCTGGTGAAGAATTCGGTCAAAACTGTGAAATTTCTGTCTTTGAACTTTCGTCTTCAAAAACTGAAAATGAGAAAATGGGACAGAGATTGGGACAATATGATTTTTCCATTTTATTCGAGATTTTGACTCCCAGTACCTTAATTTGGTTTCATACCATCATCAATTAACTGACTAATTGGTTTCTGGGCAAAAATTTCATCCAATCTGTCAAATTTGTGTTCAGAAAATTTCATATTTGAAAATCGGACAGACTTTTGAAAATACAACTTTTCGTTTTGTTAAGCTTTCTGTTGTGGGCTTCCTCCGACCGATATCAAACTTTCAGCACCTCAATCGTGTCGTATGGCATCTATAGTTAACTGACTAATTGGTTTCTGGTGAAGAATTCGGTCAAAACTGTGAAATTTCTGTCTTTGAAATTTCGTCTTCAAAAACTGAAAATGGGACAGAAATTGGGACAATATGATTTTTCCATTTTATTCGAGATTTTGACTCCCAGTACCTCAATTTGGTTTTATACCATCATCAATTAACTGACTATTAATTGGTTTCTGGGCAAAAATTTCATCCAATCTGTCAAATTTGTGTTCAGAAAATTTCATATTTGAAAATCGGACAGACTTTTGAAAATACAACTTTTCGTTTTGTTAAGCTTTCTGTTGTGGGCTTCCTCCGACCGATATCAAACTTTCAGCACCTCAATCGTGTCGTATGGCATCTATAGTTAACTGACTAATTGGTTTCTGGTGAAGAATTCGGTCAAAACTGTGAAATTTCTGTCTTTGAAATTTCGTCTTCAAAAACTGAAAATGGGACAGAAATTGGGACAATATGATTTTTCCATTTTATTCGAGATTTTGACTCCCAGTACCTCAATTTGGTTTCATACCATCATCAATTAACTGACTAATTGGTTTCTGGGCAAAAATTTCATCCAATCTGTCAAATTTGTGTTCAGAAAATTTCATATTTGAAAATGGGACAGACTTTTGAAAATACAACTTTTCGTTTTGTTAAGCTTTCTGTTGTGGGCTTCCTCCGACCGATATCAAACTTTCAGCACCTCAATCGTGTCGTATGGCATCTATAGTTAACTGACTAATTGGTTTCTGGTGAAGAATTCGGTCAAAACTGTGAAATTTCTGTCTTTGAACTTTCGTCTTCAAAAACTGAAAATGGGACAGAGATTGGGACAATATGATTTTTCCATTTTATTCGAGATTTTGACTCCCAGTACCTCAATTTGGTTTTATACCATCATCAATTAACTGACTAATTGGTTTCTGGGCAAAAATTTCATCCAATCTGTCAAATTTGTGTTCAGAAAATTTCATATTTGAAAATCGGACAGACTTTTGAAAATACAACTTTTCGTTTTGTTAAGCTTTTTGTTGTGGGCTTCCTCCGACCGATATCAAACTTTCAGCACCTCAATCGTGTCGTATGGCATCTATAGTTAACTGACTAATTGGTTTCTGGTGAAGAATTCGGTCAAAACTGTGAAATTTCTGTCTTTGAAATTTCGTCTTCAAAAACTGAAAATGGGACTGAGATTGGTGAGTATGATTTTTCCATTTTATTCGAGATTTTGACTCCCAGTACCTCGATTTGGTTTCATACCATCATCAATTAACTGACTAATTGGTTTCTGGGCAAAAATTTCATCCAATCTGTCAAATTTGTGTTCAGAAAATTTCATATTTGAAAATCGGACAGACTTTTGAAAATACAACTTTTCGTTTTGTTAAGCTTTTTGTTGTGGGCTTCCTCCGACCGATATCAAACTTTCAGCACCTCAATCGTGTCGTATGGCATCTATAGTTAACTGACTAATTGGTTTCTGGTGAAGAATTCGGTCAAAACTGTGAAATTTCTGTCTTTGAACTTTCGTCTTCAAAAACTGAAAATGAGAAAATGGGACAGAGATTGGGACAATATGATTTTTCCATTTTATTCGAGATTTTGACTCCCAGTACCTTAATTTGGTTTCATACCATCATCAATTAACTGACTAATTGGTTTCTGGGCAAAAATTTCATCCAATCTGTCAAATTTGTGTTCAGAAAATTTCATATTTGAAAATCGGACAGACTTTTGAAAATACAACTTTTCGTTTTGTTAAGCTTTCTGTTGTGGGCTTCCTCCGACCGATATCAAACTTTCAGCACCTCAATCGTGTCGTATGGCATCTATAGTTAACTGACTAATTGGTTTCTGGTGAAGAATTCGGTCAAAACTGTGAAATTTCTGTCTTTGAACTTTCGTCTTCAAAAACTGAAAATGGGACAGAGATTGGGACAATATGATTTTTCCTTTTTATTCGAGATTTTGACTCCCAGTACCTCAATTTGGTTTCATACCATCATCAATTACCTGACTAATTGGTTTCTGGGCAAAAATTTCATCCAATCTGTCAAATTTGTGTCCAGAAAATTTCATATTTGAAAATGGGACAGACTTTTGAAAATACAACTTTTCGTTTTGTTAAGCTTTCTGTTGTGGGCTTCCTCCGACCGATATCAAACTTCCAACACCTCAATCTTGTCATATGGTATCTATTTAACCAACATGTGGCCAACTTTCCCAATGTTGGATGTTGCTGACATGTTGGCGACATTCCTACTACTACTGCTTAGTAGTAGGAATCTTTGCGCCAGTACAAAGCAAAGTCATAAGTTATTATTTAGCCGATCTAAAAAGTGTATCTACTAACTAAGTTTGATCGACTATTTATACATTTAACCACTGATTATAAACTAAGAAATTAAAATGCTATGATCAGTCTTGAAATGTAATCTCTAATAGTAATAATTATATCAAATTTCAATTAAAAATATTTTGAAAGTTATGTTTCACAATTCACATCAGTCCATCTGTGATTAACTACGAAAATCTTGGTCAAATTATTTTTTGCAAAACTTGCGATGGAATGTTATTAAATTTAAATCAATGAATCATTGTACATAGTTTACAAATTACATCGCTGCATCACTTTATCCTGAAAAACGTACTTGCTACACCTACTGTTATTGTTAAAGGAACGCCAACATGATAAAAATTGTATTTACGGATCATACCCGTAAATATTTGTTCTAGATATATGATACAGACCCGGCGACGAGACATTTTAAATTTTGTACTGAAGCAGCACGACAGTTAATGCCTAACTTTTTACTTTTTTGTCAGCACTGATTTTGCTTTCTCTAATACCTTTCTTGCAGGGTGACTCTGTTCATTTCTCTTCGCTTGTCGAAAGTTGTGGAATAAGACCTCTTGATGCCCTTCTAGCGACGTTGCAGAAACGACAAGCCCTATCTTCAACAACATTACAGATCCACAGCTTCATGGGTCTCATCCTCAGGAAGTAGAGACAAGGGTTGAGAGCCGCGTTTAGAAAGGTAGTCAGAGGTTGGGAGACTAAAGACCCATACCAGTAAACAGGTCCAGCCTTGTTGAAGTCCAGACCGTACGCATGGTAACTGGTTCGGTAGATGATGACGTTCATCTGGTACAGGAAGAAGGGAGTGTTACAGACCAAGAATACCGCCGTGAACAGTGTGATGGTCACTGAAACACGTCTGGATTTCACGTCCCTCCAGTTCTTGAGGAGAGCTCTCTTCTGCAGGGACACTATACTTGCAGTGAAACTGATGAAGACCACGAAGGAAGGCAGCATGAACTCTGCCTCGAGTACAATCCACCACACTATCTGCATGGTAGTCAGGTTGGTTATATCAGGTGGGAAGGGGGCACAGTATGCGTAGTGGGCTTCGTATCGAGGATACATGATCTTCATCCCAAACACCACCCCATCAAATGTCAGGATCCACGCCCCGTACAGGAGCATAGCGTATATCAGCCTGTGGTAGCTGACTCTGTGGAAAGGGAAGACTATGTTGATGGTCCTGGTTACACTAATCAGTACGACGAGGAAGATGGACATTCTGACGGTGAACGCGATGATAACATACCACTGAGTGCAGAACAAGCTGTTACCCAGGAGGAAGGGGGCCCTGTTGTTGAACAGTACCACTACAATACTGATAGCAGACAGGGAAGTACTGATGTCCACTGCTGTGATGGTCATGTACAGCATGTTGTGTAGTGAGCCTCTCTTTCGGCCCCAGAAGTAAAGGAAGGCGGTGACGTTGCCGATAAGTCCTGTTATCATGCAAACAGCTGTGAGACTTCCTATCACTTGATCTGCTGTTCTGCTGTGTCCTGGAGTTATGTCTTCTTCTTCTTCTTCTTCTTCCATTGTTGCTGTTTAGAATTAATTCAGAACGGTAAAGGAGGCGAACAGTAGTAAATTGTTGCGATCAATAATTGTGAACAATGACTCAGAAAAAACGAAGAATAGAACCAAAACGTATGCACAATTAATTAAGACCGTATTTGGTATTCTAAACGATTCATTGTGACTAACAAATTTTGAATCGAAACATTTATAGTTGGATCACATGTTTATGCATTATGATTGAAGCAGATAAGACGAAGTTAGATGAAAAACAGCGTCTAGACTCAAGACTTTGTAGATTGAAATGTGCACCTGCTCGCAAATAATGAAACATTTATTAATAGATTTAGGTCTGATTTACTCCAGTTTAGTTAATAAAAGACTGATCAATGAATCTAGCGGGACTCATCCAGAGCGGCTAATTGAAATGATCGAGTGCTAATAAGCTAATAGAGTGTTAATTGTTAATGCATAATAATGATTGTTAATAAAATCGAGACAAATTTTGTTGTGAGATCGTCACAAAGCACTCTGCAGATGATCATGAACTAATAGTGTATGTGACTATACAGTATACTGGCGTTACAAAGATCTCTGAAATTTCTTTTGGACGGGTAATATTAATTAAAATCGTTTACTCCAGTTATAAGTTAAATGCTACGTGGAGTCACCAGGCCAAGCGTTACAAAGGTCAACTACACCTGGGGGATGGGGCCTACTATTGTTATCCATATTTCTAATAGCAAGGGCCTGGTGCCTAGTTAACTTACCTTACCACTTATAGCTCTCATGTATAATAATTAATATGACTGCACGACCTAGAGTTCCGACTTATATTCAAGGAAAAACACTAAATAGTGTAAAAGGAGATGCGATCCCTGTTGTAGGCTTATAATCTGCCAAGACTCTCGTCGAGTCGAATCAAATATTTTACGAGTATCACTCGTTAACGATCTCTGATGCGAGACATGAATATATGTAATATGGTTGATGGTATCGGGTGTAGATCTGCAACTTGACCTCATGACCTGGTAATAATAAGATAATACAAGTTTGACCCTGTTGATCTACGTAAATTTGTAACCTTGTACATCTGACTGAATCATCAATCATGAAGCCATGTAAAAAATGCTTAACTTGCAACAGGGATATCTTTGATCTTAAGTGACTTATTTAAAGGACAGTGCAAAATGTGAGAAGAGTAAAAAGACCAATTAAGTTATATGATCACTGGTGTTATCTTAAACTGAACTGTCTCAATGAAGTGCTACTAGAAGTAAAAACCAAATACTCAATGTGATCAAGGTTTTTACTAAAAGTAGAACAAGAGGGAAATATTCTGCATAGTCGGATTTATATAGGATATTGCAGTACAAAAATATTATGAATCTAAGATGAATAAGTTATTTTATGACAAACGAATATAATGGAAATGTTTTACAGCTGTGAACATGAAATCAGACTTGTAACCACAATGGCCCTTAATGTGCGAACAGGTGCATTTCACAACGTACCTCCATAAATATACCATGTTATTTTCTTGACTGAAAAGATTTAGCGTCACTTTATTATATATATGCTGTCACGTGGCAGGTCAGGTGTTCCATATTCACGTGCACCCGCACACGTTATTCCTTAAAATTATAGGTGTTAAAGAATCTGCGCTAACCATTAAACCATGGGTTAGGATAGCAATTCATAAACATGAACAAATGCTAATATATATATACAGGGTGAGTTGAAAATAGTGTGTAGAATGTAAAATTCGATAATTTTTTTATGAAGGAGCGAATTTTGAAAGGTGAATTGCTATCAGTTCATAAACGTTACAAATTTCATTCTTGTTTGTTTGTTTGTTTGTTTATAGAACCCGTCCCCAATCTCGTATCGGAAAATGACTAAACTCAGGTCTGAGTGTGAATACGGGTGGTACCTGCAAGAGTGTTCATTAAGCATTTAGAGTTCTGTAAAACTGCAGTTACAATTGTGCTAGGCCTAGAGTATTTTTAGTATATACGATTGGTATCAGATATATATCCCTACATGCTTCCAAAATTTGTAAAGCCGTCTTACATACATATCACATTACACCGGAGCCTACACAGTGCAATCTCCTCCAGTCGATCTGCGCCGCGTATGTTTATATAAGCGCGCGGCGCAGACTGGAGGAAACCACACTCTGCAAGTTCGATCCAGTGCAATGCTACAGGTACGTACTACGGCTTCATCTCCAACTTTCTGCACAATATACTGGAATGTTTTGAAGGAAAAGAAAGAACAAAAAAAAAGTGATATATATAAATAAAATCAGCGATTTAATGTTAGCCTTAGGAGGGTAACTTTAATTCCCTGGTTTCTAAAATCAGCTTTTAAAAAAAAAATAATAAAGTATGTAACGTCGATACCAAACCGATTATTGAGCGATAATAACTGAGTAGTTGATTCCTGGGTTGCGGAGTCATTTAGATGTTCCAGTTTTCTGAGAGGGTGAGAGGTTCTTTAATTAGAGCTAATGATTAAATGAGACCCACTAAAGGTACTAAATTAACCGGACTGCTAGCAAGGAATCGAGAGTCGAGTGGGAATAAAAATAAAAGCGGAATAAATTTTAAGATTTCATTCTTACCTCTCATTTGATTCTAACTCATAATTTGGTTGATTTTTGGCAGTTTTTCAAAAATTCGTAAATTCGTCCTAATGGGGTTCTTAAATCGCGTGCCCTGAAAATCGAGTCTAAAAATCTATCTTCTCCTACATTTTTTGAGCAATCACCCTGGAACTTTCAGGATATGTTCTAGGGATCATTTGCAGATGCATTTGAAACAGTATATATATACAATAAAGTAATTCAAGTGTTGCAATTGGCAGAGCACAATACAGAGGTAACGGAAATTGTCCACTGCTACCAATATTATATAATATGAAATATCAAAAATCAAATATATACACATCTACTCCATCATAGGGGCAAGGATGAGGTTATAAGAGACTTCTGATAGTGGTTTCTCATCGAGCGTGCTAAATCACTCTACAGTCGATCTTTGAGATTGTTCTAAAAGGGCCCCCGACAGTTGAAACCAACTTCCATCGAGGTATTTTCGGACGCTGATTCCGAATAAGCCCCCATGACATAGGGTTAAAATGCTCCCCTGACGAGATATTGGCGAAAAACTGTCTCGATCACGTGATATGACCGTATAAGGAAGTTAGTCTAATTTCTCGTTAGAGTTAGGGTTTCAGCTATGAGTTTGTTAAGGATTGGGTTAGGGTTAGGGTTGTGATCAGATAAGAGGGTTAAGGTTTCGAATAGTCGTTCAGGGCCAGCTAGAGAACGGGTTAAAAAAGTCACGTGACAGTCGAGTGTAGAGTGATTAATCATCATCCGTTTCTCATATTTGCTGCCCATTTTTTTCCCTCTGTACCCTCGTAGAGCAATGAGTGTGGTTCTTAGCATTGCGAATCTTATTCTTGTCCTCACATGTCTTACCACATCGCAATACCTCTCTTTCCTTTTCCTGGCGATGAGGTCTGCTACTCTATTTACAAATCGCTTACATTCTTTGGACATGCCTCCAGTTGTGGACAGTTTTTATTCGATTTTGAAAATCGTGGACCTCGAAAAACCATTAAAAACTTGTCATACGTTGTATGACCCGCCGCGCACGGAGTGCGCGGCTCCCCCTGTAGCGTCGAATAGTGAAGCGACCGTGGGGGTCACCACGTGATACAATAAAAAACGAGGTCCAAGATTTTAAAAATCGAATTAAAAATGTTTAAAAGCCTATCTCAAAATCCTGTCTGGCTCATCTCTTCTAAATGATCCCTTGAAGTAGAACATATCCTAAAAGTTTCAGGTTGATCGCTCAAAAAATTTAGGGGAAGATAGATTTTTAGACTCGATTTTCAGGGCACGCGATCAAAAATCGTTTGCGCAATACAATTACCACACACGCGCTGACCTTTGACCGGCATTAATTTCGGCTAGGAACGATATTTTTCCACGGGATCAAAAGTATCTGATAGATATTACTCCCATCTATCAGAAACAACTAAAAAGTCGATTTTGAGAACATTTCCATGAAGACCCCCCCCCCCCTGTCCTCTTAATACAGTCAAGTCGGCTATAGACAATTGTCTTACACGTTATCAACATGTCCTAGCTAATAAAGGACGATGGGTTGAGCAAATTATTAATTATTAAGTATTTTTATTGTATTATTATAATATTTATATATTTTCATTACTTAAATATGCAAAAATTAAGTGGAAATTTCATTTGTCAAAAAATTAGAGCCATTTACATTCTACACACTATTTTCAACTCACCCTGTAAGTGTATAAAAGCATCTGATGTCCCAAAAACAATGAACAGATGAACGTTCGTGTTTTCGATCATGGTTTTTAATTTTAATTTTTAGTGTGGTAAGTTCTGTAATTATATAAATCAAATGATAATATCGACTATATTTCATATTGATGGATGTTAGTTTGCTCTAACCAGAGCCCTCTCGCTTGCAGTAGCGCGCGACCGCAACAAGCAAGTTCGATCCAGTGCAAATTATTAATTATTAAGTATTTTTATTGTATTATTATAATATTTATATATTTTCATTACTTAAATATGCAAAAATTAAGTGGAAATTTCATTTGTCAAAAAATTAGAGCCATTTACATTCTACACACTATTTTCAACTCACCCTGTAATATAAGTGTATAAAAGCATCTGATGTCCCAAAAACAATGAACAGATGAACGTTCGTGTTTTCGATCATGGTTTTTAATTTTAATTTTTAGTGTGGTAAGTTCTGTAATTATATAAATCAAATGATAATATCGACTATATTTCATATTGATGGATGTTAGTTTGCTCTAACCAGAGCCCTCTCGCTTGCAGTAGCGCGCGACCGCAACAAGCGCGTCACGCAGTACGCGTAGGCACATGGCTATGTGAAGATGTTAGTCTTACTCGTCTAAATTTCTTCTAAGTAGCGCGCCGCTTTCTTTTCGAAATGTTGCCTGAGCTAGTCCATAAACAATGGACAACGTGTCATAGTTTATTGTTTATTGTATATTATATATTGGTTTGTAGCGCGATGCGTTACTGTGCCGCGCCTTACACTCAATTATGCTTCACGCAACGACACTCGCTAGATCGGCGAAATGCGCTACTTTGACGGATGTTACTCGTCTAAATTTCTTCGAAGTAGCGCGCGCCGCTTTCTTCAAGCGCTATATGGTCAAGCGCTATATACTGTGCCTCGCCGAGCTGCGATGAATTCATGACATGGTAGTAGAGGCTCTTACGGGCAAAAAGACGTGTTTTCTGCTACGAGTTTAGTGTTTAGAGACCTAACCGCTAATTGGACACAATAGTATGATGTCTAAGAATCGATAATATGTTAAGAAGTATAAATTTGGCCTTATTAGTCACGTGCTATACCAATGCGCGTTTTAAACTTTGACAGCCTATTACTCTAAGGGCAAATAAAGTAATTATATTC